TTCGGCCAGTGCTGCACATTAGCAATGCCTGGCAGTTAAGCACAGGAGCCACCATGCTTCACTGTTCAAGAACAAGGGCTTATTTAAAAAGAAGAGGGGAAAAAAAAAATAAAAAATCCACAAACCGACCCTGGTTTTGTGCTGTTCTGCCCGAGTCGAAGTTTTATTAAAGATTTCCATTCGGCAGAACCATCTAATAAATCTTACTGGTTAACAGTCAGAGGAGGAGGAAGAAAATGCTTTTCTGGTGTCTGTTGGGAATTGCTGGTACTAAATTAGCTGCTCTGGAATTATTGCTGGCACCATCACGCTGCCGCTGTTGCCCCGTGGAGGCTCTCTGTAGCACACGCCTGTTTGCACGCCGCCTGCATCCTAAGCAAGCAGAGTATGGAATTTTTAATCATACACAGAAACACAGTCAGTCTTCTTTTTGCTCATGGAAAAATAGACTCTTGCAGGGCACGGAGGGAAGGGAGAGCGCCCGCCTGCAAAGGGAGGACTCTCCAGCACCAGAGGGGATGGATGTCTTGGCAAGTCCTTCTGGAGGTATTGTCCAGCAGAGCAAGGTGTGACCATCCCGGCTCTTCATCCTGTCAGCTGCTGCCTCCACATCCAAAGAGCCCACAAATGACCAGGACCTGCCAAACCGAGGTGCCCATGTGGCCAACAGGACACGGCTGCCTGATGTTTGGGAAATGTGAAATATTTCCCTCAATCTCGCATGTCGTGTGGAAGATGTTCAAGATCCACATGTGAACTCTCAGTGAATTTTAAAACACTTCACGCCTGTTACAGCTCTTCACCCATTTGGCACCATCCCTCAAAGGGTTAATTCTAGGACAACACAAATTTCTTACTGCCTTCCATCAGGCTGGGCTTAATCTGAAAATGATGCTTAATTTGCTCTTCTGTTGATTGCGAGCTGGAGACCTGAGCCATTTATTTTTTTTTCATTAAAAGTAATTTAACTTGGTATTAAAACCATTTGAATGGACCTTGACTTTTTCACGTGGGGACTGTCACACACATTTCTTTTCCCTGTCCTTGAAGCCATCGTGCTCCCTACTCACTGGGGTGTAGAAACAGTGCAGATAAAAAGAAAAGTGATGCGGTCAAGATTTTTCCCAGTAAATTTGGTATCGAGTGATTCCTGGTGAGAGGAGATCAATAGCGCACAGTTAATTTTTAAGTTGTTTATGTTGCTGCTTTTAAACCATGTTTTTTGTGATCCATGCTAATGAGTGGAATGAGGAGTTTATAGATTCATAGGCTAAGGGCAGAAGGGATCTCTGTGCTTAGTTAATCTGAGCTTGTGTATACGCAGGCCATGGACTTTTCCCCAGGCAGCATCTCTCTTGGAAACGTATCTAATCTCCTCTTAAAAATACCCAGCGTTGGTGAGTTCGGCCCCTCCCTTGCTGGTTCACTGTTTAATTATCTTTGCTGTTGGAATAGTGCCTCACTTCAAGGCAGAGACGTGTAACTTGACTTTCTAGCCCTTCTAACCCGCAACGCCTTTGTCTGCCAGCCTGAAAGCTTTTCCACTTGCTCCCAGTGATCGAGTCACCTCTCAGCCTTTCTTTGATAAACTCCTGAAATTTCAGGAGTGAAATTTCAGAAGATTTGATTTGCAACCCGGGGTCATTTTTGCTGCTTCCCTTTGAACTTCAGCTGGTGTTTCCACGTGTCGATGTGTGGAGGACCCAAGACCTGGCTCCTCTCGCCGCACGCAGCAGAGCTCGCTCTTCCCAGCTTCGGCTTGTTTCCACGGGGGTGGGAGGGCTCATATTCTATATCCAGTATTGGACTGACCTTCTGTCCACCCCACTGTGGTGTGAGCTCGTGTTGTGTAGCGCTGAGTGGCCGCCTTTACGTCCTCCTGCGAGCGCCTGGCTTTCTAAGGGGCGCAGGGCTGCCCACGATTGTGCTTCCTCCATGTATCACTTTGCATTTAAAAGGCTGCTGCAGACTGGGGACCATCTAACGGAGACACACAGATAACTAACTGGCTAGAATAGCTCCTTCTGTAAGATTTTTTAACCCACCAAGTGTTACACCACCTGCAACCTTTACCAGGGGAGATTTTCGATCACCTGGATTGTTGGTAGATACATTAAATAGCATTGAAGAAGAATCAATCTTTGCTACCGGTGGCCTTGCTCAATGATATCTGCTCATTAGCAACTACATTTTGAGATCTGGCAGTGAAGCAGATTTAATCTCTCTAATGTGTGCCTTGTTAATTCCATATAATACCAGCCAAATACCTTGGAGAAATCGCAGTATATTATAGCATCACAGTTGTCTTTAGCAGCCAAGCGTGTTTTATTAAAAACCAAAACAAAGAACCAAAATCCCCCCCCCAAAAACCAAAAAAGACAACAGGTTGGCTTAACAAGGCCCATTTTCCAGGAAAGCGCTTTGATTGCTATTCATTATATTATTAGTATCTCGTTATTTGTTGATGAAATCCCAAATTAACCACTCCGGAATTTTGCAGAGGACCAACACCAGGCTAAGTGAGGCCACTTAGCCTGATGTTGGCACTTTGCAAAATTAATTACTGCACTAAAATTCTCCTTTTCACCTTTTCAAAATATGGAAACACTCTGGCAGTGCCCTGATCCATCCTGAACCGTAAGAGTTATTAAAAATCAACATTAGTGGTTCGAACAGCTTCTCAGCAAAGTCTCTAAAGACGCCTGCGTCCAAGATGACTGGGTTGCCTGATTTGAGAACTTAATTTCTGACCTTTTTCGTTCCCATTTTTCCTTGCTGCCAGCGGTGAACGCTTCTGGTCCCCTCGCAGCAGAGTATGGAACCAGCCTTCTTGCTCCCTTCTGAATACAGATGAGAAATGCCCGTCCAATTGGTTTGTGCTACCCTTTGCTACCTCATCAGCCTTATCAGCAATGGGTTTATAACTGATTAAAATTACAAATTTGATCCCAAAAGTTTTCAAATGCCTTTCTTTTCTTAGCCCTTAGTACTTTCCTGGTTCCCCCAGCATTCTGTAGCAGCAGCCAGTTTTTATCCTATTTGTTACTTCTAACCTCCTATTTTCCCTATTTCCATACACATCAATTTATTTAGTTTTTGTCATAGGTTTTACATTTCCTTTTGGCTAAATATTTTCCCCAGCACATTGAAGAAATTTTGAAAGTGTGCCCTTTTTTTGGCATCCAATTGGGATGTACCGAACTATTCCTTTTTTGGTGACTATCCCACTATAAACGTAGGTTTCCAGTCCACTGTTGGTTTAAGCTTTGGAAAAAAAAATAACTTAAAAGTTTCAAGTTACTTTTTACTGACGGGTGTCATATTCTACTTAAACAAAGCCAGTTTATTACACTACCTAAGCAGCAGCTAATCTTTAGGTAACCAGTTTACTCTCCATGGTCCATCACAAGGTCTCCCACTGGATTCCCTTCTGCAGGGTGCAGAAAAAGCATCCCTTCCTGTTACAAACCTTGGGAAGTTTTCAGGTGAGATGCTCAGCCAACAGCCCCTGGTTGACATCACCCACGACCCTGCAATTTCTCTTGTAATGCATTGTAGATGCATAATTAAGAGATTTTTTAAATTATTATTATGTTTTACAAAACAGAGATGTTCAAAGAGCAGTTCACATCTCTCTATGGGACAATACGGGAATGTATCAAATGTAGAAGTCCCTTGCATTTAATTTTACTGGTTAGGGCTCTAATCCTGAGCTGCATTGTACTCTTTATTTCTGGTTTTTGGGAGCAAAATAGCATTAGCAGCTGCCTGAGCACCGCAGGCTCCTCCTCACCCTGCTTTGGATGGGACAAGGGAGAGCTGGCCTTAGCCAGGACACACACAGCCACAGCCACCCAGGACCCAGTCGGCTGCTCTGACCCCTTTGCTTACAGCAGAATATGCTTCAGCAGCCAAGAGAGGGCGCTCCTTAAATTAATAAAAGAAAAGGGAAAAAAAAAAATAGAAAATCGGAAAAAAACCAGCAAAAAGAGAGAAACCGGGCACGCTTTCTTATGAAGAATTTTTTTCCACCCAAGCGAAAGGTTAAACGCAACAAGTGAAAACATGGAGGTGGTTTTCAACCTTAGGATGGGGAGCAGGGCCACCCCCGGGGCGAGGAGCGGAGGTCTTGGCTGAAGGTTTTGGAGATGTGGGTCCGTTGTGGGCCTGGCCGTTGCCCCATCACTGCCATTCCTCCCACCCCGGCCACTGTTTTGCCCCTGGTTTTGCTCAGTGCTTCAAGATGTTGCCACATCGGGCATGGACACCAACCCCTCAGGCAGTGCCGCGCGAGGCCCAGCGATGGCGGTTCCCAGTGAAACCGATAGCCTGGCCAGGCCCCAGCGCCGGGACCTGCTCTGCGAGGGGCTGGCACTGCATGAAGCCTGAAACAAGCCCGTCTCTCTCTCTCTAACAGCCACGTAATACTTTTCAAAAGGCCTTTAAGCGCTGCCAGTCCCCGCCCTGGGTGCCAAGTTTTATTTTTGTCAGCCAATTTGGGAAGTTTGTTAAACCTGTGCCTGGGATCAGGGAAGCGAGCCCAAAAAGCAATCAGAAGCACGTAATAAATAATAATTAATATCAGTGTGTGGTGCTTATTCAGTATTTTTTTTTTTTTTCTTTCAAGGATCTTTCAGCTAGTTGGCAAAATCCCGTTCCACATTATGGTGGCCTCTCCTACAGCAGATATTTATCCTCCTCTGGTTACACACGGCAAACCGAGGGAAGAAGTGTTCCTGTAGTCTGCTGGAGGAGCCCAACATACGTCCCTCCCCACGATCCATCGCACCTGAAGACACGCAGGAACCACAGCAGGGTCCTGGATGTGTCCTTTGGGAAATGCTGTGCCCCCTGAACACACATGAAAAAAGAGATGAGGCAAACCCCCAGGTGGTACATACCTCCCTTCCCCTCGCCCCTTCACTACTAGGTAGCATCAGCTTATTTATCAGCAGAAAATGTTAAGGCACAGGTAATTCAGTTTTAATGGTTTTTCTCACCTGCAGAACTGCCTGGAGTGGTTCATGTTGGGACCTGCTTTAATATTGCCTTTTTCTGGGTCATAGATGGTGGTTGCTCGTGCATAAGCTCCTCCAAGAATAAAGATGAACCCATTGAGAGTGACTGCGGGAGCATATTTGTTATCTGTCAATGGAAAGCAACACTGAGATCAGTTTTAGGCTCAGGTTTAGAGACTGTTTTTTTTATTTATACATTACCCTTATTTATAGAGAAGTCACGTTTCTCTAAACCTCCAAGGCTAGGGAAAGAAAAATGAGGAAACCTTTCCTGGTTTTGTTCTTCTCTCTCTAAGTTCTCAAAGGCACTTTTAAAGTTCATCAGTCCTTCATGCCCCAGTACGCACCTCCCTCTAAACTGGTAAAGTACAATTATCCTCTCCAGAAGCCTAATGGAGTCACCGTGAAAGCTCCACTCTTACATATGAAATTAAGATGTCAAGTTGTTTCAGAATTTTGAATTGCTTCAAATTTTAACTCGGATGCTTCCCATGGCTGTGCAGCAGCTACGTACAGAAGAAACCCACAGCGCAGAGACACCCTTAATAATATCCAAGAGTTGATTCTCTTTTGTATTCTGCTTTTGCTTGTGGTAAGGTCACCCACATAATCCAGAAGATTTTCCAAGACCCGTTTCCCCCCCCTTCATCTGTTTCATAAATTCACCTGCATTTTTATTTTCAGATGCCTGTGTACCTCCAAGCAGTCCTGTATTTTACCAACAAACTGTGTGAGGTTGGGGTTTGAAATTACGCCAGTCCCTTATCCTAAGTCAGGTTCAATCAGAGATTCCAAGGATGCTTTAAAATTCTTGTGTTAGCTGCGGCATTATTAGAAATATTGGTAAAACCAACCATAAATTATCAACTAAAATAATTCTAATTTAATTAGCTGACTTGTCCCTTATGCTGCTAGCACGCCATATGCACATTATTAAATATGAGCCAGTTGGGCTGAAATTTCTCATGATGGTGTCTGTCTTGATGCGATACAGGTTTTTTTAATCAACATTTCAGTGAAACCAATCAGCAGTGTCTGGGAACAAAAGATGGGAAAATACATTGCTTTCTTTGAGTTAAAATAAGCCTCACAACCAGTTTCTCTAAGAAGCAAGTGCCTGAGCCCTGTGGGGCGTGAAGCAGACGTTGCCTGGGTGGTTACTCTGGTGCCAGGGGACACTTCTATAAAAATTATCCATATGTAGCTGTATAGAATTGTAGAATCATAGAATTGTCTATATTGGAAGAGACCTTTCAGTTCATCTAGTCCAACCATCACACAGGCTCTCCAAAATCTGCATTTTAATATGCTCAGCTCTTGCATCTCCAGTGGAGAACCAGCCCAAACACATTCCTGCCAGCTTCAGCCCCTGCACCCCTCCTCCTGCGTGCAGGGAGGGAGGGCAGCATGCTGGAGAGGAGGTGCAATATCATTTTTACTATGTCCTTACGTCTCTGGTAATGGCCTCTACATAACACTGAAGGGGTCTTTATGTTCTTCCCAGATCTACAAAACTTGGACTGTGTCCTTTTAGGAAGACAGAAAGAGATGGGCTTAACCCAGCCCCAGCAGCTTTACTTTTGGCATTTGCTTACCTCTCGCACAGCTGGCGTTGTAACCCTGAGGTTCTTGTAAAAACCACCTTATTCCATTAAATATTTAACAAGAGATTTAATTTGACATAAGTTAAGTAAAAGCTGATGAATTTCTCCAGAAGAGAGATCATTTCCTTAACTGGGGTTTGAACTGGTTAAGCCAGAAGGAAAATAATGGCTTTGTGGTGTCTCTGCTGTTCCAGCGTGGCCATGGGGTGGTCTGGCTCAGTCCAGCTCACCCCACGTCGGTGGGTGCCCCGGGGGATGGACAGGGGTGCAGCACCCGGCATGAAAACAGACAAAACATGTTATGGGTTGAAGTCAGGCTCCTATTACGCTGAGTATCTACAGGCATATGTCAAAAAAACGCGGATGTATTAGGAAAATGTCACTGATCCTTGGGAACAGATGGGAAGAAACTAATTCATCCAGAAAATAGAACAAGGAGTATTCAGTTTCTCCTCGGTGCCACTAAGCCACTATAATTCATCAGAAAGACTTATCTGTCCTAACAACCCGTCTCGCATCCCTTTCCAAATCAGACTTGCATATGTGACATTTTTTCCAGTTAAGACACTCATCAGAAATTTTCCATATTTAATTATCACATCTTCCTGTGTGTGTTTTTTTTTTCTTTGACTAGCACTGTTTTGCAGGAGAATGAAACTTTTGCATAAAAAATAAAAGAACTCGGCTCCCAAATCTCACAGGGAAATTATTTGGGGCTCCCTCAAGGCAGAAAGAGTGACTTCTCAGGAGACTGAATCACTGACTTCACGTTCCTTTTTGTTAAAGAAAGAGAGGGAAACCCCTTGGTTATTTTTATAGGGACTCATTTTTTTTTCCCCTTTCTTTTAAATAAACAGATGGTCTGATATTCTTTTTCTCTCTTTTTTTTTTTTTTTGAGAGACAATTGTGTTTGATTCTCATCAATTTTTCAATACATCACCTATCTGTTGTCTTTTTACTGCTTTTGGCTTTAGCTACGATTTCATAAATTGGTATAAAGCAAACCTGAGACAGAGAAATCTCTGCTGTTTCTTTCAGGATTAGAAAAGTTCACAGCAAACAGTACCCTGATTGTGATTGAAGATATGGCAGAAAGACACGAGGGACACCCCTCCAGAGACAAGTAGAGAGAAAACAGTGGGGTTTACTGTTTTGTTACCATGGAGGCAGAAATTGTTCATGGATACCGGGAGCTTGGAGGACTCATTCCGGCTACCTTTTTTTAAATAAACAGATGGTTTGATATTCTTTTTCTCTCTTTTTTTTTTTTTTTGAGAGACAATTGTGTTTGATTCTCATCAATTTTTCAATACATCACCTATCTGTTGTCTTTTTACTGCTTTTGGCTTTAGCTACGATTTCATAAATTGGTATAAAGCAAACCTGAGACAGAGAAATCTCTGCTGTTTCTTTCAGGATTAGAAAAGTTCACAGCAAACAGTACCCTGATTGTGATGAAGATATGGCAGAAAGACACGAGGGACACCCCTCCAGAGACAAGTAGAGAGAAAACAGTGGGGTTTACTGTTTTGTTACCATGGAGGCAGAAATTGTTCATGGATACCGGGAGCTTGGAGGACTCATTCCGGCTACCTAGGTGTGGATGACCACCTTCAGTCTTTACCCTTCCATCCCAGGTGCTACCCACACTCTTCCCTCGTGGTTGCCCTTTCCGGGGCTTAGAAATCTCATGCAAACACTCAGGAGACTCCAACTTTCATCGCTGCTCTAAGTCCTTACCATGCTCATAGAGTGAGGTGGGTGGCTGGGGAGCCTAGTCATGCAAAAGCATGTTCTGGTTGGGCTTTTTGGTGAAAGCTACTGGGTGTGAACATGAACTCCTATGGGTCAGAGGTTTCTATGGGATACAGCAGGGACATTGGTTATTTCAAAGTCTGCTGGAGGGAAGGAAGAGAAGGGAGAGAGCACAGAAACAGAGAAACAGCCTCCTTTCCCCTCCAAAATTCAACTGTTGTGGCTGTCGGATACAGTAATCCATTTCAGGATGGAAAATCTGAAATGGGATTTGTGCAGGACAGCAAGCACACTTGAGATTAAAAGGCAGAGAAAAATGTAAAGGAAATAATAGATAAAAAGGTACTCTTCTCTCCAAGTGGATAACATCATAACATCATTCTCCTTTGCTGTTGCCATAGGAAAATATGCAAGTATTTCTATTCTAGCGACAGGTCATTGTGGGAAGGGGTACGCACTCAATGACAATCCTTGAGCCGGAGGTGTACTTCACATGGGGTTGATAATTTAACCTACTGGTGTTCTCCTGACTGAATAACGACAGCGTGCTGTCTGTGATGTGTTTCGTGGCTCTCGTATCTCTCGCTACATTATATGGTCAAGTAGCACAGTTCTGCTTTCCCTTTCATGATTGCTTAAAGATCTTATGTTGCCTTCCAGTAAAGCACTCGGTCAGAGACTGAAGTGGTATCACAATGAATGGCAGCAGCACTTCATATAGAAAAAGGTTATTAAAACCAAGCTAGTCAAACATTTTTATCAGGAGGAAGAAATGCGGGCATGCCACCAGCCCAGACATAACGCCAGCTGAAAGGTCTCCCTGCAGGCGGGGGTGGCCGGAGCTGGGGGCTGATGCACGTGATGAAGCAGATTGGAGAAAAGAGACTAGTTAATAGAAACGAAATCTATTTTAATAGTAAGTGCCTCTTCCCCTCCCTGAATAATATGCAGACAAGCTCAAGAATGGCATAGTAATGGATAAGATAACGACCCTCGGCCGCCTGGAGACCACGGTCTGATCCTCCACGTGGCTTGTGAGGCCCAAGTGCAGACACTGCAATTAGCAGTGGGCTCTCGGATGTCAGCCCTTCTGGCACACTGCTCTCCTGCTAGCCGAGTTCTCATAACTACACAACTGACTGCAGGGCCCTATGGTTTCCCCAGTGACCCTTGAGGATCCCCTCCTCAGACACCCCAGAGTTGACCATGCTCACTTGCAAACGCTGCATTTTGTCTGTCCGTGGTGGGGGACGCCCCATGTCAAAAAGGAAGCTCCACCTGCCACCGTGGGGCAATTTCAGTGTCAAATTTATGGGTAAAACATTGATGAACTGAAGAGAGTTGGACAAAGTATGGCCACAGAGATGAAGCGGCGGTAGGAAGTGAAAGGGAGGACATTTGCTAAAGGACAAACACAAAAATACTGACTTTGCTGGGCAGAGTGAGTGTGTGCGAGGGGAACACATCAGGGAGTGGACAAAACCATTCTGAATAGAGGACATGGCAAATATGGAGGAGAAGTGGGTGAGACAAAGGAAAGAAAAATTCATGCTCACTAGTGGGAAAAACACTTAAGACAAATACGTTGAAGGATGAGAAGGAACTCTCAGTGCTTTGAGACTTCTAGGTGAGAGCCAGTCAAACCCACACACGGGTACTGAACTACTGGCCTTGGGGAGAGAGACAGGCCAAGACATACATCTGATTTTTCTTGTAAAGTCTAAAAATAAATTCATGAGAATCATTATGCATTTTAACCAAAAGAAACCATGGGACAGTGCAGTAAATTTGCACAGATGCTGCTAATGCTGTTTTCCAGATATTTCTTGCATTCTTAGCTCTGTTATTGTCCCACTTTGGCTGGACATATCACTGCAGGAGTAAACAGCATGGTGAGGAACTAGATACTTGGATTACATACCAAAAATGCTCTCGATCTATGACCTCTGTATTTCCATAGTTCTTACCAGATTTTAAAATTTAACAGCGGTGATGTTTAAACACTATTTTTCTTACAGTCCAGAAACATTAATAAAAACTTGTAATTCCACCAGTACAGACACTGTGTTCAGGGTATCAAAAAAGGTATATTTCAGTGCCCTGGCATGAAGGCACCAAACGAACTAAAAGGCAGTGACAAGCTAATTAGGCTTACTTACAATCACTGACTTCAGCATGTCTATGGCCATCTTGTTAAATAAGACAAATTTCAGGAAGCTGGGCATGAAATACATTTTTAGCAGAGCTATGTAGGACAGTCTGGCGAGAAATGGAAAGGCAGGTGTTGGAAGTACACAGCCTGGGTTCACTTACTGTTGTAGGACTTTGGCTTGACAGTAGCAAACTTCTTACAGCTCAAAACACAAGAAGGGGAGGTGCAAGGTGGTTTATCAAAAACATGCAGTGTGAAATCCCTGGGAAGCTCCATTATTCCAGTAATATCAAGCTGTGGGCTGTGCTGCTGCAGGAACACCTGCTGTCTCCAAGGGCAGGGAGGACTGAAGCGGGTCAAAGGATGGGGAACATCTTGGAGCTTTGGAATGGAATCTCCAAACATGGATGTGTGCAATCAACACCTGCCCAGAGGCTACCACAGCATCCATGTGCATTGTGTTGGTGAGCCTAGTGTCATACCTACTGCACGCAGGCATCCACGTCCCAACACTTCCTGGCAGGTGAAGGCTAAAGAACAAATGGAAACTGGGAGTCAATTCACTGCTTAAGCCTAGAAGAAACCCAGGCAGAAGAAAGCAGGGGCTGAGCTGCGTGGACTTGCTATCAGACCCCATTCCATATCTCCTCTGCACAGGCAGGATGTCAGTATCCAGCCTGCTTCACCTCCCTGCAGATCAGCCTACCCTACCCCTTGCCATGGCTGATGTCAGTGTTGCCTTGGGTTAGGTTGGCACATGATGCTTTGGAAGAGATGGACCTGTTGGGTTCAGACGTGTGCCATGCTGCATTCAACTCACTACCATAAAATAGCACAATGGCTTGAGACAGGTACTACTGGCCTGAAAATCTCCAGAGACCTTGGCTGCTTTCAATACCTGCACCTAATATTGCATATCTGAGCATGCTTGAGGTGTTTTTAAACAACCCATTGTCCTATTTGACATAAAACAGTTTTCACTGATCTCTGGGGTGACCATAAACAACGCAACTCGCCATCAGCTATCTCAGGTGACTTAGCTCGAGGAACACCTTAAGAATTCACAAATCAACACCATAAGGCTCTAAGGCTGTCGAAGGCACCCCGGCAGTGATCATAATGGGGATCCATCTCAGGTCCATGTTGTAAAAAGCACCCCAAGACTCCTACTCCCTCTTTGTTTTGGACAGTGTTGCCCGTACTGCACTTGACAGAGCATCCAGTTCGTGGGGGTTACTTTCTAAATACAGGTGATACTACAGTTCCTGTAGAGCTGGAGAAATTAAGATATATTCCAATATTCCCACAGCCTTTTAGTGAAGATCAGGCATCGCTTCCGCACAGTTTCCCAGACATTCTCCACCAGGGTGCAATTTTTCAGGCTCTGTGCTATTTTACTTTATTTGCAAATAAATTGACGTTCTACATTTCCCAACAAAGACACACAGCAACTCCGCATTTCATCATGTGTTTTATGCCTTCATCTTAAACAATTAACTTTGCTTACACCAAGAAAAGATAAATACCATCTTTTAACTTTATGGATTGTCTTTCATGTATTTTCGTTAGGAAATAATAGTACCCGCCCATTAGCACAATGGATGACGAACCCAACTCTGGATGGTCTGGATGATTCTTTCCAAGCACGCGTGATGTTGACACCTGCTAGACAGTATAACGAGCCCAGGGAACGATTTCTTAGCTCCTGTGGCACTTGTACTATTTTGGTAAGGAAAAAAGAATACCTCTTTGCATAATGCATTCATTTTTGCAACACGCTCCGAGTACAGGAAAAAATCTCGTACTGTCAGTCAGGGGCTGAAATGAACAGCAGCAGCTGTGGCCACGTGATGGAAAAAGCCAGGCAATGGGGCTGTTTGCTGCCGCATTACATAAACATGACTTTTCCCCGTTAACGCCCTCCCGCTGGGCGCTTCATGCTGCATCATATGCATGTCATGTTACGTTAGGCTGGACACAAACAGCAGCGAGGCAGTCGGAAAGCAGCACCGCTGGCAGCACAGGGGAGGCTAACGCCGTGGCTGCACCAGCTCCTCACCACCTCAGCTACTGGGGAACCTCAAGAGAAGAACCCTAATAATCGTAACAAGCTACAATAAAAAGAGCAGCTTCTTTTAGCTCTCTGAATATGATTAGGCCTTACCTGAACACCTTACAGCTGTGCTTCTATAGTTTATTACTTGATAGTCCTATTGCTCTACCAGGATCAATAATGATTTTTTTTTTCAAATGAAGCACCTCATGTCACAGTTTCAACGTGACTTAAGAGTTTTAGGATGGTGAAACACTGGCACAGATTGCCCAGAAAGATGCCCCATCCCCGGAAACATTCAAGGCTCTGAGCAACCTGATGAGAAAGAAGGCATCCTATGGTGTGGGGCTTTTGTAATGTGCCTGAAAAAGAGCAGCAGTAAATGTGGAAACTCTCCTTCACTGACAAAGGGTTCCAAGTAAGCCAATATTTCTTCTTGCAGATAAACATGCTGCATAATGGCAGAGCATAAGCAGAGCAAGCTGAGTCAATTTTCTGTTACAAAATCTTCAAGGGGAAGCTATGGTTTAAGGGGTGAGTTTTGATGATTTCTTCAATTTGGAATCATTTTGAATTTGCTTTTTTTTTTTTAGGTTGAATGATCTAATTGAAGATGTCCCTGTTCATTGCAAAGGGGATGGACTAGATGACCTTCAAAGGTCCCAAACCATTCTATGATTCTAGGATGGAAAAGCAAGTCATCCCAAAGCAGCTTCTCTGAGATGATTGTGTGAACACTGTTTCTTTGGCTACTGAAGTCCAACCAGACCAAAGGCTGTCCACAGCCACCCAGCACAGAGGAGGTCACCAAGGTTGGCTGTCACCCTGCAGTAATGTCCTCATGAAGATGAATGCTAAACTTAATTTCCAAAAGCAGCCTAAAGAGTCAGGGTGTAAATCCCCACAGACAGCAAGTAAGTTGCAAACTTCTGAGCACTATCCTGATTTCGGAAGGAAATCTGCAGCTCTGACATTGGCTGGTTAAGATGGCAAGTTTGGCCTCTCATTTTGCTCTTTATTATGTAAAATGTTAATAAGCTACATGTCTTGGAGATTTAAGCTTCTGAAGCACATATGCCTTTGGACACCACTGCAAAATCCCAGTTAAGGATGACTGCCACTTACTGCGGGACAGAGGACATTCTGGCAAACCCCTGAGTAATAACCCATTAACTGAACAGTGCTGCGAAACGGCGTGGAGCTACACATGATGCCAGGATGAAGTTTCACTGCACTTTGTGATTTTTTGGATCTAAAATTACTAGTTGTCCATATCTAATAACCGCTTTCCTTTCTCCTCTTCTTTGAACTCATCGCTTCTAGCTGATAACTAGCTGTATTAATGAGTGACAATTGCCTTCAGTGAAGATCCAGATAATTGCCTCTGGTATAATATACCATGCGTTCCTGCCAATCTGTTGTAAACATATCTCCCCTCATCCCCCCGCCCCCAGCTCATTTGCTTTCTGCAATGGTATTAAAATACCCATAGCACAGAGATTTCTGATGTAAATATGGGTTTACTCTGCCACCATACATCCCTTACCGATCATCGGAGACTCTATAAAACTCCAGGAATTAGTCTGAGGGATGTAGGACTGCAGGACCCCCGCAGCTCGGCCGGCTTCGTTCACCCCACCGAAGACGTAGATCTTGCCACCACAAACGGTGGCAGCGGCCGAATGGACGGCCTTGGGCAGAGGAGCGATGGTCTCCCACTGGTTGGTTATGGTGTCGTACCTAGGACGAGAGGAACCGCGGTGAGCGGAGATAGCGCGATGCTGGGCAGGACAGAGGGGCAGAGAAAGCAGGCTGGGATCCAAGAGAAAGGCAGGTTGACAAGCAGAAGAAAAGCAGAGGTGGAAACGTATTCTTTTTAACATCCTACAAACTCAGCCACTTGGTAAACAGTGTAATTAATGCTTTTTTCTAAGCTTTTAAAACATTAAGAAAAGCCCGGAGAAAGCTGGTTCTATTTTCTCTATATGCTTCTCAAATCTCATTATATTCCAAGCTAAAGAAATCGAGGACATCTTTGTTGAGATGTCTTCCACTAATTAATTTCTATTAATGAGTATACAATGAGATTATTCTTGCAAATCAGTGCAGTGATATCCAATAGCAACCGCAGGCAGGCAACTGTTAATATACTTCAGTTGTTCAGCTCTTGGAACACATCTCACCTACAACATAATGCAACACGATAGGTCTTTTTACTCTGGTTAACTGACCAGTGATGCACATTTTGTGCCAGAATTAAGTTGCCTCCATTTAATTTTCATTGTGCAAACCAGACTACTGCGCTTCATTGCAGGATACGATTTCACTCTTGCATCCGTATTTGACACGAAACAAACAGAAAAGAGTAGGCTGTAAGTGCTAAATTAGTTTTAAGGTCATCAGTATCTGATTTAATTAAGCCATTGACCATAAGGGATGTGCAGTTAATAATCCATGGATGAAGATTCATTTTAGACAATGTCACAAGTACAGACGTCAATTTTTTTTAAAGATAACGTGGCAGGGATCCAAATAGCTGCTCTAAAATGAGTCTTGGAGACAGTGGAAAATAATGTGATTTTTAGGCTTCTATATTTCCATGTAATGGCACATTCAGTCAAATAGGAGTTTCCTGTGTAGTGATTATTCAAAGTTGTTGGCTGTAAGAACAGAAGCCTCATCACCCATTCAGGGCTTTTTCTCTTAATATTAGTGATATGCAATATGCAAACATCAAATGAATCCATGGCCATGAATCCCTCTGTAAAAAAAGATCCAGTGACAGAGGAATTCTCCTTTGCAACACGTCCCTCAAATTCTCACAGCCCAAACTTGGGGAAAATAAAAGGGACAAAAGATATAAGTGGTGGCAACACCACAATATGATGTGCTTAATGAAAACGCATTAATGAGTTTTCAAGTAATATAACTGAAAGTAATTAACACTCTCATAAAAATGAAGGAAAAGCAAGAGGGAGGCAAACTTTAACTAAAAAAAAAATACAGAAAGTCCTTTATAATGAGCATGGAGAACTGCCATTTACAATGCTGTAAATTAGCTACTGAGAAATTAAATTCATCTACAACCAAGTGATCAAAGGGGAGAAATATAACAAGATTAAACAACATGATGCTGGGAGCATTCAAGGTGACACCCCTACATTGGGCTGATTCTCAACGTTGGGTACCAAACTGGAGCCTGCGGATGGATGTTCGACTGCAGGAGAAGTTCCTCCGGGTGAGACACCACATGCTGCAGCTCCTGCCTCTGCCCACAGCGCTCGGGGCAGAATCATGCCCATCCCCAGCAGATGTGCAAAAATCCCACATAATAGAAACCATTTCATACACTGCTTTTGGGTTACACTTTGCGAACTGTACTCAACAGGGCACTGGTAATTTAATTGTTGATGTCTTATTGTAGTTAAGAAATTGGTTAGAATTGGTCAAAACTGGGCAAAGAAATAGAGCTGAGAAAAACTGACCTCATGTGCCTTTCTAGTTCCTCTGCTTCCAAGGTATAAATTGCATCTCTCACCTGACTTGTATTGTCTCACACCATCCACCCTGACCCAGCACCAGGAACCCTTATGGCCAGTCACAGTGGCCTGAGTCTGAGAAGACGGGATGGTGAGCATCCATGCTGCCTCTCCCAGGGCTGGCACAAGCACCTGGCAGACCACACTTCCCAAGACAGATACGTTCCTGCCATCAGCTGATCCTCCTAATACGTTTTGGGGAAGGATGGGTTACATCCTTTACATTTGCTGTGAGCTGGGTGTGCTTGAGGACCATGTCTATAGGAATACTGGGGAAACATTCAAATTACAAAGACAGTAGTCCCTTTTCTGAATGTATTTTACTATTAGGACCACAGATCTCCTAGACTCTGTTTTTCTCTACTGTCTCTTCATGCTCTAAGCAACACAACTAATCTTTCTGTTTTCTACCCTCCTTCATCTGCCACCGGGAAACCAAAAATGACCAAACGCTGAAAGCCAAAGGCTGCAAATCTACTGGACAGAGGTGCAAGTGGGCAGCTTAAAAACACTCTTGTCTTGAGTGTCATTTAGTTTAAAAAGTCAGTGAACCATAAAGCAGGTGGAAGCCAGTCCTTGTCCACCCAACGCAGGCGTCTAATGTGGGTTTCACATAGGCTGCTCAGAAAAGCAACTCTCTTAATTTAGTGCCTAACTTACCCCTGGGGCGGAAGAACAGAAAAAGTTGGTACCCTCAAGTCCTCCTGACACCTGTCCATCAAGCTTCTCCATCTCCTGGGAATTTATTCCCTCCCTGCAAAGCTGCAGACCTGATTTCTAGTCTGTGTTTTGCTTCAGCTCCCACCCACCAGAAAGTAAGCTTTTTTTCCTTTTTTTTTCTTTTTTCTTGGATTATAAAGCTGTCTGCTATCAAATCTCTCTCTTTCACATATGGACTTGCAGAAAATAATAAAGTCACCTCTTCACCTTCTACGGGATAAACTAAGTAGTCTAAGCTCCTTAAGTCTCCCACTGCAAGGCAGGTTTCCATCATCTTGGTCTATCTCAAGTCAGCTCCTAATGTGTTCACACAAGGATTTGCACCAGATTAACTGAATTGGTTTAAAAATGAATAAAGTTGAATCTTTGTAACCTTCCAGGACAGGAAATAATGACACCTGCTTTACCTCTCTGCCCCAGGGCCTTTCCATCTGTGGTGTCATCTCTGGTGTTGTCATTGCTCCACCACCACTAGTGCTAGTAGGGCTCCTTGGCTGCCTTTAACACTGGCTCTGCTCAAGGGCCAGCGGGAGGGAACTGATTTTAAGAATAATCACTTTGATCTCTTTCCATTAGTCAAGCTTTGCATTTGATTCCCCTGTTTGAAGCCATAGATGGAGGCTTAATGGGAGCTGGCTTCAAGCCAAGCGAAGGTTTTTCTTCGCCCTCCTCCATCGCTCCCTCCAGTTCTGGTGTGTCCATCCCTGTCCTTGGCTATGGGCCTACCAAGCCCATCCAATTTGCTGAACTTGAAACTTCAAGGACATCTCCTTTCACATGACTGGCGCCTGGTTGTGCAGTCCTGGCATGCCATGGACTCATGCGTGGTTTTAGACGGATGTCCTTGCAGGCTTTCCTCTGCCCCCTCAGCAGTCCCTGCAACCCCATGGTCCATGGCCCTGCTGTGCTCTGGACATCGGGCCTTCCATGTGTGCAGGACGTGTCTGTCCCCCCATCACCGAGCACCATCGTCTCACCTGACCCTTGTGCAGTCCCTGCCCTCTGGTTTATGTACATACCCATGATACGGCACGTGATCTGAACCCAGCAGAAAACACAGCCTGGGCTTGGAGAGAGCACAGGCAGAAAGAACCTCGCTGGTTTTCACAACTCTCCACCCCGAGGGTTTCATCTGTGGGGCTGATCCTCCTCTCGCTTCACTCATTTTGTTCAACGCCTTCTTTCTTACTCTTTCCCTACCACCTCAATATTAACAGCAGAAACCTTTCATTTCAAGCTGTGCCGTTTGCTTCTCTGCCTTCTTGACTTCTGATCTCTTCAGTACCTGAAAACAGTATTTTTTTTTCTCCTCAGTCTCTCTAACTTCTCTCCTTCTAGGTTAAACAGCCTTATGAGTATCTTCATTTATTCACATTATAAAATCCTTACATCATGGTCAGTCGCTTACAGACATGCACCCTCCAGTTTCCTATACATTATTTAATTGAGTTTGCAGGGAAACTGCTATTTAAAATAAAGCCGTACGGTGTCATATTGATCTGCTCTTCAGATGATTCACATGTTGTTTAAAATCACATTAATGGATTACTATTTTCTGTCTTTTTTATTTTCTTCTGACTGTTCTGAGGGGCTTAAGAAACTATCCTTGGACAAGGCTATATATTTAATTTTCTTAAGACGTCAATAAAACAGTAGGTTCTGAAGCAGTTTCTAAAGCTTATAAAGCTTATACTTTACATTGAATTTTTTAGACTGTCTTCCAAGTACACACTGCCAGCCGAAGTAATCTCCCAATTTTAGACAACCCTATTGTAAAAGTGCTGTCAGGTCAAGGGGATTCATCTTCTTCTGTCCTTCAAACAGATAATAACCACAAAGCACCCACATTTCCACACTTTTAGTCACATACATTGTCTTGTCAGCATACGCAGTCTTCTCGGCTCTCAAATTGCATATATTACAGGGCCCATCCATTATCTAAAAACCTAGTTCGTGGATCCACTTCATTTCGCCGCCTCCCAACTCAACTCATATCTCAGAAGAAGACAGAAAGCGTAATACCCTCCCGCCGAACACCTAATGACTCACTCCCTGTCACACAGGAACTTGCCAGAGGGGCTTGATGGAGAACTGCAGTCACACCGTTATTTCCCTAAACACTCATTCCCAAAACATAACTCTCCCTGAATATATACCCGTGTACAGCCACAAAAATGGACTTATAACTCAGACCCTCTGGCACATGCATATTGTTTTAAGATGAGTAACGAATGACTCCAACCCCTCTGTTTGTGATAGTCCTGCAATTCTATCCATCCAGCTGGAATTTTTACTGCCTCTTTACAGACAAATGGCAAATAAAGGGTAAAAAATCTTGGCCCTATTGAAGCTGGTGGGAAAACACCTACTGATTTAAGTGGCACCAGAATTTCTGACTGAGGCTGCACCCTTCAGCATCAACGACACAACCAAAAGCACGGAGAGAGGAGCCCAGGAGCTGATGCCATAAATCACTCCGAGTCTGGTGGTCCCTTCTTGCTTTAATGCTTTTTAACGGTGCAGCAGATGTATTAGGTGCAGTCAGGTGGTAGCATGTATAGCTGAGATGGTCTGACACCTGTTTTTAAAAACCCAAATGTAATAAAAACATCTTTGTAAGTTTTTAACCACTTAGGATGAAATATTCCAAGAATTCCAGGAAAAACAGGTGAACCACAAGAAGGAAACGGGGAGAAAAAATGTTATTTTCTCCATCTTCAAAGACCCTCTGCGGTGACACCCTGCAGTCTCCATGCTAACTGGTGAGGTCAGGGTAGGTCACTTTGGACCGGAGATGTACCCTCCTCCACACCAGCCAAAAGCATGGAAACCTGGCCAAAGCTGGGCATGGTCACGCTTGAGGTAACCGAGCAAGCAGAAAGCAAAATGTGGTTGGGGAAGATAAGCTGCTCGTGCACGAGTGAAGATGGTAGATGGCCCAGGGAGGGTGTCCAGTGCATTGTTCTTCACACTGGTGGCACAGCCCAGGACCACATCGTGCGTCAGGCCTGGATGAGCCCCCGTACCTCCATCTGGGTGGGTAATGGGGCCATAATCTCAGATGTCTCCTTTGGGGTGAGAAACTAACCAAAACGCAAGAGCACGTGACCCTGAAATTCAGCACTGAGTGAAACAATGGTAACTTCAGTAGTAAATGTAATTTTTGGCATCATCTGACATGGAACATACAATCATGTCACCTTATCATTTTAATATAGTCCTTTTGCAAGACCTGGTTGAACGATGGTGAGTTTATCACCCTCCTGAGAGATGGTATCTCAGTGTCCCATACAAAACAACACAATATCAGAAGAGGAATGTGGAGCCCACACAGAAGTAAGGTGGGAGAAGGCCAGTCACATCTGGCTCTTGGGGGATGGAGAAAGTCAAGACATGAGCATTAACTGTCCCTGCAAACACAAAGAACTGAGCAAATTAAGTGTCTTTATTTTGTATTTTAATGTATTTTTTTCTAAAGTTGCAACCCGAATTCAGATAGCCTCACTGCTTGCAAAAGTGGGTACAATGATTCTCATTCCTGAACACTGGCACAAATTAGCTGCCTGGTCCAAATGGGAAATGATTTTTCCAGAAAAAGGCACGACTTTGCTCAGTTACAGCTACAAGGGTCTGCTATTTCTCACCTGCATTTCTAGCTGCAGACCCCTGGAACATCCTCTCCAAAATGCACAGCTTCAGCCATGCCATACCTTGCTTCTGTCATTCCCCACCGTCATTTTAATGCAAAGAATTAAAAAGGAAACATCCCAAAACCTCTGTCATTTCTTGGCATAACCCAAAAGAGTCCATGTTGCGCTTTTTCCATGGCTGCATCTCACAAGACACTTTATAGACAATAGCAGATTAATTATAACCACGGGTTTAGCAAATCCCCATGACAAGACATCCTTATTGTGGTTGAGACAGCGTGCACTGAAATGATAGGGAGGAAATCAGCTCCTTTCCCCCACAAAAGTCTCTTGGTGGGTTTGTTACAACTGAAAACCAGCGCGGCCGCTCTCGCTGAGCCACACGGGGCACGGCGGGGGCCAGGGCACGACTGTGCAGGCTGCAATGTCATCCGTGGCAAGGGCTTGGGTGACTGAGAGGAGAGGGAAGGAGAGGGGGAGACTTTGCTTGATTTGGATTTGGGGTTTGTTCAACTGACTGACGTTTTGGATGCTTTGTTAAAGACAGACTGTGAGAATCAGAGCAGAGACGCAAAGGAGCCTCTGGAAAAAATAAAGAGATCGTTCAATCAATGACATCTATCAAGACACCTATCTGTGATAGCATTATTTCCATGTTCCTCTTTATCCAGAGATGGAATGAAAGACCGCATCTCTTTCCTGGGCTCTCTCCTTCCCACGTCCACAAAAACATTTCTGCTAGTTAAAAATTTTCTGACTAAAATTACAGGAAAAATACCTTCAGAAAGCAAAGATAAATCTGCATAAAATGGTGAGATTTTCTTCAAAGCCAGTCCCAAGGGCAGTGCCCACCTCAAGCCCAGAGGGAAGCGAGGAGGGAAGCAACGCTCAGGTGTTGAATTCACTGCTGTGATTTATCATTCATTCTGCACTGCCTGCATTTCCCTGACTTGCTGAGAGCATCATCACCAACGTCAGTCCTTCAGCCCGTGCCCGGGCAGGGAGGGAAGGCTACCTGCAGACCTTGTCCCACAGCACACCTCCTTTTCTCAATTCTTGTCTCCTATGCAAAATAGTGCCAAATTTGTGAACGGAGAGGATCACAGCTACATGTGAACGGTGATCACGCAGCACCAGACGGGATCTCCCTGGCCAGGCACACATTCCCCAAGCTGCTCTGCCCCCACACACTGAACGAGGCAGAAATCCTTTGGGAAATAAATAATCATCCCATGATTAAAGATCGTACCAAAAAGTAGATCTGCAGAAGGAAACTTTAGTTTTGGCACTTCCTAATTTCCTGAGTGTTTGACTTTGAAATATTAATAAACTTTTAATACAGGTTTTGGTATTCAGTATTTACAGTGTCTCCTTAAATGAAAAAAATAAACACTCCCTGCATAAATGGAGCATAAATGTTGCAACAGCAAAATTCAGAAAAAAATAGATTGAAAGGAAATCTTTCTTAATGACCTATCCCTTTTTGGATTGCTTGTTAAGGCAACTTTTACTAGGAACTGATTGCTTCAAAATGTTACCGAAGAAGTATTCAAATTCAGCACTTAAAACTGAAAAAAACCCCACCATAGTCATATTTTTGGTTGCCAGATTCACTAAGGAAAAACATTTCACAACAAATGTATCATTAATCTATTGTCACAATGTATTTTTAAGTCTTTGGGTAAGGCTACAGCTGTATTCATCTTTTTGGAATGGAATATTCTTATACTGCATTTCAAAGCGGTTTCTACTTTTTAATGAAAATGTTGATAAAATGTATGGGCTTACTGAATGTTGTGTTTGACATGAAATTAGTTGGTTTTGGAATTCTACTTTGTGAAACGTTTCTTTTGTGCTTTTGTTCCTTCCTCTTTTTTTTTTTTTTTTTTAAGTTCCGTGTGAGAAAAGGAAAACTTTTATATCTGAAGTCTTCTTGAAAAGAGAAATTTCCATTCTCTCCCACCTCTGGTCAGCCCCTCTAGGCCAGGAATTCAAAACTGTTTCCATTTATCGGTTGTTTTACTCAGAGCTTAGCAGGTCCCAGCCCCGGGCCAAGAGCACCAAAGGGAGGATCTTCCTTCCAGCCAGGTCAAGGCTGAGGTGATTTACCAGGAGAGCACATGTGAGAAACTTACTTTGTTGTTGCTTTTTTGTGGTTTTTTTTATAAAAAAAAAGAGAAAGAAAAAGGATTATTGTGATCTGTAAAGACTTTCATCAGCGCTAAATTCAAAGGAAGTTTATTAGTTCATTGTATAATCTGTGTAAAGTGTCCAAAGAAGCTTAATTCCTCTCTTCCCTCCCCCGAGCAAACTGACAAACTGGCAGCTTTTGTCTTTGGTTTTGAAACAATGCTTTCCACTGAAGCTTTAAAAAACAAATCTAATCCTGCACAGTTTCCTCATTTCTTAGCTGTTATAAAAGCTTATTTTAACACACACAGCCCATTTGATGTGTCCTTTAAAAGGGAAAAGGCAGTTTAGCATAGCATGAAGAAAAAAAACCAAACCTCCAGCGAGCAGCGTGGGTTTGGGTGTATTTTTTTTTTTACCTTTCCACATGGTCAACGTTGCCTGCCACACCGACCCCTCCGATGGTATAAATTTTCCCATCGTACACCAGGCTGTTGTGTCGACACCTCGGGACTGTCATGCGGGACACGAGGTTCCAGTTATCGAGCAGGGACATGTAACACCAGACATCAGCCAGCGTGACACCCGACTCCATGCCGCCTGGCGCCCACGACGGGGAAGAAAAGGGGAGAGAATTACGTGAGATCCTGGAACGGCAGCAGCTTTGCGCGCAGCAATCAAAACCAGTTACAAAGTAAAAACTCTTCAAATGACATTTGACTAATTAAAATAAATCACCCTCAATACTGAGCATCTGTTCCGATGATGCATATCTGTGTCATTTATTCATGCGCCCCAAAGGCTGGTTTGTTTTTTTTTTTTTAATAAGATGACATGAAGAAATCAAGATGTCAGACTATGAGGGACATGTACATAAGGGGATAGACCCTTTTCAGTGTTCATAAATAACTTCCAGTCTATTAAATTACTGCAACACTTGCAAGAAGGTGTCAGGAGGCAGAGCCTATTTTGGCTGGTGAGACACAGGCCAGTCTGAAATCTAAAATGCTTAATGCAGTGATGGATTGAAACAACAAATACACGGGCAGAATCAAGTCAGTGCATTAAGCACTGCAGGCTTAATGCCTAATTTTCAGGGACAAATTTCTTATTTATTTTCATCTGCTGACAAAGGAAAGAACCAGCTGTACCCACTCCTGTAAAACAGCTCAAGATGCTCCAGTGAGGTATTTATATTGGCCATTTTTTAACTTCTGAATGAAGCGTCCAAGGTAGCCACTTAGTGGGTGTCTTACTATCCCCATTTTGAAGCACAAAGAGGTGAAATGATCTGTTTTAGACCACACTAGGAGTCAGTGGTTGAGCCAGGAAAAGAAACTAGGCTCAGTTCTGTGGTTTAATGAGAAAACCAGGCTTCCTCCTTGGTATTTTGCTCTCCAAACCTATGCTATGTAGCGTGCGGTCCAGTGCTTGGAGCTTGCAGGAGTTCAGTCCCACTTCTGTTGGTTCCCCCTTCCCTTTTTCCTGTGCCTTGTAAGTGTGAGCAAAGCAAAACATCAACCAACACTCAGCTCGGTTTCCAGCCACGCGGGATTTTCAGCTCTCCTGTTGTAGCTACCAAATACCAGCAGACGGCTCATCCAGATTCAAGGGAAAGAGCTGAAATAAGCTTTGAATTTTGGATTCAACAGCTTTTGTTAGCGGGTATGGCACAGTCTAAAATGGCTCTACATATTGGAAAGTACCTCAGCTAAGAATAACTAAAAGTCAACATCTCACAAAAGCTTCCACAGAAGACCTTCGCTCCAGCGGCAAAACGAGCCTGGGCAAAAAGCACCAAGAAATAACTTCCAATCAATCCTTAGGGCCTCTATGCAGTATTAATGGAATTTAACACCACAGGCAGCAATTTACTGTGGAAAATGCAGTGAGGGAACTCGGCAAGGGAAAGGCAACAGCTGTAACCCCTTACTGGTCCTGCCTGGTGCATCCATGCTCCTGACTACACCCTCGCATGGCACACATCTGCCTGGAATGGAATTTAACACCACAGGCAGCAATTTACTGTGGAAAATGCAGTGAGGGAACTCGGCAAGGGAAAGGCAACAGCTGTAACCCCTTACTGGTCCTGCCTGGTGCATCCACGCTCCCGACTACACCCTCGCATGGCACACATCTGCACCCCCCTGTCCGAGCTCCTCTTCTTACCATCAAACCTCCACTTGGCTGCCACCAGAGCATCCTTGCATCTCCTGGTGGGAATTGCTTTTCCCCCTCCAGCCAAGGAGAGGTACCACCAGACTGCAAAAACCCAGACACCGTGATGCTGGAGGAGTGGTGTAGACAGCTACTTTGGGAGTTAAAGCCTTTTAAGGAACGTGGTCTCAGTTTCATGGAAACTAAGAAGATTACAGGGCTAGTGACTACTGTCAAAAGAGAGGTCTCAACAACAAGTACAGAACGTGAATGCTCCTGTAAGCAAATACTGTAAGTGTAGGTCACATATTCAGCAGTTCAGCCTGTCTGTCTCAAATTCCATAACCCACCATTTAGACTAAACTACAGCCGGTATTTTAAATTGTGTTTCTATGGCAGTGAAACCTCTTTGCATGCTTGATGGTTGTCAGACCTATTTTCTTCACGTTGCCACTGCAGAATATTGCTGTTGACTGCTTTGAGAGAACGTTAACGTCGCAGAGAAATGGAGAATGACAAAAGCAGGGAAATCCCTCTCTCCCAACCTCCCTCCCACTTTTTTTTAATTTTTTTTTTTTTTCCCCTGGGAGCAGCTGGGTAAAATTCCTGCATGTCCTGTGTTGTTGACGCAGGTCAAGAGAAGTGATTCTGCCCCTTTACTCTGCTCTGGTGAGACCCCCACCCAGAGTCCTGCGTCCAATCTACTCTGCTCTGGTGAGACCCCACCTGGAGGACTGCTTCCAACTGTGGAGCCCTCAGCACAGGCAAGACATGGACCTGTTGGAGCAGGTTCAGAGAAGGGCCACAAAAATGATCACCTCTACTGTGAGGACAGGCTGAGGGAGTTGGGGTTGTTCAGCCTGGAGAAGAGAAGGCTCCAGGAAGAACTTACTGCAGCCTTCCAGTACCTAAAAGGGGCTTATAAGAAAGATGGAGAGAGACTTCTTACCAGGGCCTGTAGTGACAGGACAAAGGGAAACAGTTTTAAACCAAAAGAAGGTAAATTTAGATTGGACATAAATTTTTATTATGAAAGTGATGAATCATTGGAACGGGTTGCCCAGAGAAGGATGCCCCATAATTGGAAACATTCAAGGTGTACCTAAAAGGGGCTTATAAGAAAGATGGAGAGAGACTTCTTACCAGGGCCTGTAGTGACAGGACAAAGGGAAACAGTTTTAAACCAAAAGAAGGTAAGTGACAGGACAAAGGGCAACAGTTTTAAACCAAAAGAAGGTAGATTTAGATTGGACATAAATTTTTATTATGAAAGTGATGAATCATTGGAACGGGTTGCCCAGAGAAGGATGCCCCATAATTGGAAACATTCAAGGTTAGGCTGGATGGGCCTTTGAGCAACCTGATCTATTGGAAGGTGTCCCTGCCCAGGGCAGGGGGACTGGAACTAGATGATCTTGAAAGGTCCCTTCCAACCCAAACCATCCTGTAATTCTATGTTTCTGTGAAATCTGATGCTTACCTGAGAGATAGATGTTGTCCCCAGCGCTGACCACGCTGAAAAACTCTCGATCATAGAAGGGCAGGCTGGCCAACGGGTACCACTTGTTGTTTTGAGGATTTAAGCAGGTGACCGCTGTTAAAGCACGTTGATTCATGCCGATCATCTGACGGCCCCCAACTAAGACTATTACCTCGGCTACACCTAGGGTTCAAGTAAGAAAAATAGTATTTTTAAAAAGTTACATCTCTACACCAGGCAGAGCCCCATCAAAGAACACTCGTCAGTCAGGGTAATTTAAATGTATTGTATATAAATCTGTTTCAGACTGAGCAATCCAACCAGGAAGGGTGAGAAAAAAGGGAGTGTGTGTGTGGGAGAGAGCGGTGGGTGAGGAATGACACCACGAACAAGCTTGGGAGAACTTGGGAGGGAGCATGCCATCTGGGCAAAACTTGAAGGGGAAAGAAATAAAAAGGCCTTTCCATGTAAAGATGTCTGTTGACTTCAACAGTCTTTGAGTGAGACCTGCATGTAGCTAATTCCTGGTCCACTGAAGAAAATGGGAATTTTGTCAAGGGTCATGATAGTTTTGGAGCTTAGCCATTATCCAGGGAAAGCATGTTTGGACTTTATCCTGAATAAGGTGTCCTCACGCTAAAAGCTAATGTCTGGAGGAGATTTAGGCTATGGTTAAGGTTCTTCATCTTGATCTTCTCTCTCCATATACTCTATGACCAAATCATTTTCTGGTGGGTTTGTTTGTGCTTTTCTCAGAGAATGAAGGCTTTCCAGATGTAGATAACATGTACACAAGCCATGGATCAGGATCTTAGTGTACTAGGTGCTATGAAACGTGATTGAGATCGCCCCTGCCCTAATATTAACTGAGATTTAGCTGTACTTGAACATCTCCCCCAAGCCCGTAACACACAGGGTGTGCAGCAAGCCAAATTCTCTGTTTGTGCAAATGGACAAAACTTTTGCAATGCGCTTTTGCAATTTATTCCCACTTTACAGCCAGAGCTGAGTCAAATCTGATCTGAGCGTTACTCCAGACTCAGTGATGGGTCGCTGTTTAACTCTGGGACATTTTCTGGCTCCAACCCCCAGAGTCAAGCATTGGGGATAGTTTGGATTTAGCATTTAGCAGAGGCGTTAAAAATCCTTCTGCAGCAATTGCAAGCCCCAGTGCAACTTGTTTCCAGGAAAGGTAGGCTCAGAAGTAGGACCACGAGGCCAGGAGCTGGAAGAAATCGCTTTGGGAGCTGTGCTCGCAGCCAGACCCGCTGCTGTGGTGTGTTCTGGTGCCCAGCCCAGAGACAAGTGTGCACAGGCTGGGGGGTCAGAAGCACAGGAGTGAGATTGCCAGCAAGAGAGATTAGGAGCCGCAGAGGAGAGAAATGTGTCTTCAGAGTAATGGATTATCATCACTCTTCATTAGCTTTTTCAAAAAATATATTTGTGTCATTCAAGCAAGGTTACTCTCTAAAAAGTTATTAAGTTAAAGTGCTGTACAGTTTTAAATAAATATTTCTCAGTAACAAGAGATCATTATTTTTGTTCCATACCAGAAAATCTAATCACCTGTGCAAGACATAACTTGATTATAATCAATGACCTCGAGAGGGCATGTGACATGCTGCAGCGAGTCCGCAAAGGGTGTTTAGAGATCCTTTGTGCCTACGTGAATGCCGTTGATATGCAAAATAACATGATTCTATATAATTAGACTCTGACCTAAAAAACTATAATCACCCTCTCTTACCCCGAGAGAATCACTTTTCCCTCATCAACAAGCTTCTGGAAATGGTTCATATTACACCTACAATTTTATATACATAAAATAAGCACTTTTCAAAAATCCCTTCAAACATCACACCATTAGTCGTCTTCAATGAAAGACTTTTTAGGGTAGATTGTTATTGAAAGTCCTCTACACTTCATCCTTCTGAAAGGTGCCTTGATGAGGCAGTCTCCAGAAGCGGCGAATGCCGTGGTGTGATATGCCATCTCCGTGCCACATTAGCATCAGTGGCAGAGACAGAAAGTTTTGCCTGGCTTTGGGATTGTACTTATGGGAGGCAGAAGTACAGGCAGCACGTTAAAACAATCCACCTGTTTCATCTGGCTCCTTCTTGGATGCAGTTTTTTCCTATGTGATATTTGTACCATTCTCTGTTCAACAAATATTTAGGATATTTCTCACACTACCATGATATGGGCTCTGCTGGCGAGTTGGGCACTTGGGGTTTTTTTCTTATATTCTTCCAAAAAGCAAAATGCATGGATTTCTCAGGTGAGAAACTTCTTGAAGTGGCGTTCTCAATAGCTACTGGGTTTTTAAAAGGAAATATACTGTGTATGATCCATTTGTTTTGGAAGCAGTAAACAACCTGGACTGCTACTGTAGGACTCACTGTATGAAAATCATGTGTTTACATAGGGCTGTGAAAGTGAAGCTGTTTTATGAATATTAATCTGCTGCTCCCTGCAAGAGTCTGAATGGCAAAGAAGCAAATTATTCACCTATTTTTGCAACTAGAGAAACTGAGGCATGGAGGGCAAGGGGTCCACTTTGAGGACAATAGGGTAACATCATGGTTTCTGTCAAAGCTAATAATTCCTAAAAATTAGGCTCCATTTAAAACTCATTTCAGGAGTGTGCATCTAAAAACCCTCATTTGACCATTGGGAGAGGCTCCTCAATGCTCGAGAGAAACAGAAATGGAAAATTGAGCTTGAAATATCAACAGGCACCAAGAAGGAGCCAAGGGAAGGAGATGCGGTCCACACCCCAGCCCTGGGCATGTCCTGGCCATGCCTGAGAAGTGCTGGACCAGAGACCTGCTGTCACTGAAGGACTTTTTACTTTACCTGCAGAGAGCCTGGGCCGGGTCCTCGGCGTCTGCATCTCTTGACGGGCGTGTGGCAGCATGTGATAACGTTTGGCTTCATTCACTAGATCCCGGCAAGCCTCCGAAGACTTTATCAACTCCTCGTTGTCAACAACGTTTAGGAGATAGCTGGGATGGATGAAGGGGAGGCGCACCACCGCCAGCAGCTCCGCAGCATACTGCAGGGGGAGGAAAAAGTAATAATAACACACTGCAGCCTTTGTGCTGCTCTGCATCTCCACCTCCTTCCCTGCAAACTGTCCCCTGTCACCCAACCTGGACAGACACTTGGTGTGGATGCTGCACACAAGCCCTACCCAGCCATCGGGTGGGACAGAGACAACGAAGCCCTAGGTGCTCCCCAACCCAGGCTGGTTTTGGTCCCTGAGGGACTGAAAATAGTCTTCAAAAGGTGGCGACTCTTACTATATAGCACTGTATGGAGGGATTTTTGAAATAAAAGCTCATTCTGAACTCTGGCTGAATATAACCTCTAGTGCACTGGGGACAGGGTGTAAGCTTTTGAGTTTTCTGAATTAACCTTGAAATGTAAGCATGGTTGTTGCACTGTAAAAGAAGCTCAAACAAGTGTTTTTCTGGCACTCTAAATGTGAAACAAAAGCGGGTAAATAGGATGGATTTCATAACTGCTACGGCAGAGACTGAATAATGCCAGCAAATTTGCTAAAAATGTTTTAATAAATAGGGCTTATTTGTTGGTGAAACAAATTGTGTAGTTCTAGATTTTGGGGAAGTCAGACTCCAGAGGGTGCTATACAAATACTGACAGGAAGTTTCATCTTCTAAATAAATACATTAAGCCTCAGAGGGCAAAGGACACCCGAGCAAATGAAGCTGTCTGTCACTGAACATGGCTTAAAGGAGAACAAAACCCCATGAGAGAAAGCTGCAATCAAAAAACCAAGAGTCCATCCCCAGATTATTCTTTTTATATATAATTGCTTATATCACAACACACCACAAGAGTAGTGAAAAGCAGAACAATAGGAGCCCATGGTTCTCGAGACGAACAGGATGCAAACTAAGGGTGCACAGCAAGGAAAGATAATCATCTGTTGTAATAAATATTCATATAGCAGCAGCATCCAAAGATCCCAACTGGGACTGAGGCCAGGATGAAAACAAATATTCCTGAGGTCCCTGTGACTGGTCCTGAGAAACGCTGGGTGCCAGCAGCATCTGCTGGCCTGCAGATGCCTCTGATCTTCCAGAAGCTACTTGGCTCTTGCCTTCTCTTTCAGCAGCGTGCCTGTCCCTGCAGCGCACGAGAGCCAAGTCACAGCAGGAGCAGGGACAGGAATGGGGCAGGGGCACAGCAAGATGGGAGGGCAGGGACGTGGCCTGAGCCAGCTGATGAGCTGGCCAGGCAGGTGAGGGTGCAGCGACACCAGGGACCGCTTTCAGGGCTTCCCCTTTCCCCAGCCAAACTGAAGAAGCAAGCTTCAATTTGGGAGGAAAATAGGAATTCACCCCATTTTCCTGCTGGAGAGCCCCATCAGCCTGGTGCACGCTCAGTGAAAGCGAGGATGTGGCCACCTGTGGGGAGCTGGGACCCACACGTGCAGGGCCACGGCAACAGGGAGACCACCAGGGTCCCAGGCTGAGTCCCAGCCCCATACTCACCAGCCCTCTGTGACACTGGGGCTGGCAATTTTAGGGACAGCCTAAAGAGTTGAGGCCTGGCCACCCTGCAGTTGTTTGGGGATAAAAAAGGTTGTTTGGGTGAGGCAAAAGGGATGGAAAAATGACAGCGCTGCTCTTTTGAAAAAAATAAACCCCACCGATGTGAGCAGCGAGTTTGTGGCTCCTCACTATTACCTATTACAGAGCCGAGTAGGGCTTGAGATCACTTCATCAGCCTCCAAACCCTAAAAGAAGACATTCCTCTCTTTTCCCTTGCTGAAATCCATTTCCAAGGCGCTTTCTAGGAGGTAAAACGGCTGCTTCCTCTCCCCGGAGTCACAAATGTCAGGCACTTGGCTGCAGATACCTTAATGTCATTAAACGGTACCTTGTAGGAGAGGGAGCAGTGGACATATGGCAGTGGGTGGCAAAGCTCTGATTTCAGGAAGTGTTTTTTTTAAGCAGGTTGGAGGCGGTTAACCTTACACAGGAGCCAAGATGGAACGTGGCATCGGGACATGGGAATAATGCGGAGAGCGGGGATCCCAGGGACGAGCCAGACAACCTGCCGGGGGAGGTTAATCCCCACTCCAGGCTGCTCAGGAAGCAGAACGAGCCGCTAAAGGGCAGTTTAAATGAAGTCGTAAAATACAGGGAGTCTCTAGCGGAGCCAGAGCCTTCCCTCGGTGTGGTGGGACACGCCAGCGCTGCCTCTGGTGCTCCCAGGCAGGTCTGTGCTGGAAGCATCTGTAGCATGAAGCAAGGCAAAACACAGGCACAAACAGTTGTGTCACTGAATTAGGACACGGGTTACAGAATCACAGAATCACAGAATTACAGAATCTTAGTGGTTGGAAGGGACCTCCGAGATCGAGTCCAACCACAAAAAAACCCCCAAAACAAAACAAAAAAAAAACCAAACCAAAAAAACACACAACCACACAACCACCACAAAAACAACAAACCCAAACCCACCACCCACCAACTAAACCCCACACCCACAACCCCATATACTATACCCCACCACAAACCTATAATCTTGGGCACTAGAGCATGCCCTGAAGAGCCACGTCTACACGTTTCTTAAATACCTCCAGGGATGGTGACTCCACCACCTCCCTGGGCAGGCTGTTCCAGTGCCTGACCACTCTTTCAGTAAAGTAATTCTTCCTAATATCTAATCTGAATCTCCCCTGCCGCAGCTTCATACCATTACCTCTGGTCCTGTCATCATTCCTTTGGGAGAAGAGGCCAACCCCCGCCTCTCTACACCCTCCTTTCAGGGAGTTGTAGAGGGCAATGAGGCCTCCCCTCAGCCTCCTCTTCTCCAAGCTAAACATGCCCAGTTCCCTCAGCCTCTCCTCACAGGACTTGTTCTCCAGGCCCCTCACCAGCTTGGTGGCTCTCCTCTGGACATCCTCCAGCACCTCAATGTCCTTCCTGTAGTGAGGGGCCCAAAACTGAACACAGTACTCGAGGTGAGGCCTCACCAGTGCCGAGTACAGAGGCACGATGACTTCCCTACTGCTGCTGGCCATGCTATTCCTGATACAGGCCAGGATGCCGTTGGCCCTCTTGGCCACCTGGGCACACTGCTGGCAACAGTACGACAGGGACCAGGATGTCCCGAAGCCGAGTGTGAATATGCATTGAGAAGAAAGCTCCCCTGTGGCAGGGATGGACAATTCCCAGGGGTCCAGCAGAGCGACCATCTCCATCTCCCACCTTTCCCAAAATAAAGGAGGCAGCACGGCTGCCTGAGCACGGCGAGCTCTCCCCCTTGCTCGCCCACCTTGCTTTAATTAGATAAGTGAGAAAATGTGATTCTGTTTCTCTCCTGGATTTTTTTCCCCCACTTTGTCTCCTCTTTTGTCTGAGCTCGTGGCTTATTTTGAAGAGGAATAATAATTAGAACATGTTGCTCCCTTTCATCAGCTTGAAAGTTAATGTCACATATCAAAACCGATGTCACTTTTCACTCTTATTCCTCCTTTTGCTCAAACAGCTGGAAAAAGCCAGCTCTGCGTGTGTGTGTGTGCGCACGACCACACGCAGCCGCGACGCGGGCTCGTGGCTGATGGCATTAAGGGTACATATAATCGCAGTGTTTTTCACCAAGGGATCTGAAGAGTATGTACCATCGCAGTGTCTCTAGAAGACAGGAGAGGCTTTTATAAACCAACGGCTTTTCGCATCAGCTCTTTTAAGCACTACAGTCAAGGGTGAATTTCATTTAGCCTCACTGATTTAAGAATATTCAAGTGATTTAGGCAATCAGCAGCCTTTTTCTTTTGTATTCTCCCTTATGAAGGCTTCCTAGCTCTGTTAGCTATGATTGTACTAAATATCCTGTTACTATTATCCTTTTCATTTAGGACTGGAATAAGCACCATAAAGCATTTCGACCTCCTTACCATCTCTTATTTGCTCTCCATTCTCTCTCTTGCCTTTCCATTGTTCCTTATACAACTATGAAATATCTACTGCACCTACTGATGTTACCGGTTTTTATTAAAACAGCAGAATACCTGCACAGGGCATGTTGCCAAATTCATCAGACAACAACCTCCAGTCCCTGGAGTTGCAGTTTACTCCTCTAACTCGGAGGGCGTTTTCTTCTTGCTACTCGGCTGCAGGCACTGGCTGGACAAGTAGAAATATTTCTGGGGTCTTTGCTGGGAATCACTTACGACTACTCTACAACCTGCATCACACACCGGGGTGAAGCGGAGAATATTAATGCTTTTTTCTGGCCTAAATTTGAGAGTTATCAACTCATAGACATGGGAGGCCATGCCTCAGCTCCCTGAAAATGGACACCATTATGCAAAAACCTAACGAATTTATTGCTTAAAATGCTAGGGAAGTGTTTGAACGCTGCCAGGACTGGTTTGGCAGGTGAGGTGAACCTCAGCGTAGCTCCTGTTGGACGAAGGGAGCTACTTGGGTTTTGCACCAGCAGAGGATCTAGTCCCTAAACTGCTTGCTGAGCAGTGATGCTGCTGGATATCCCTGCCGTGCCCTGCATGGCCGGGGTGATTCTGCCTGAGCCAGGGAACCGCCACCAACTGAGCAAAGGCTTTTTGAACAGTCACCGGGGACACAAGAGAGTAGCAACTTTTGAGAGATGCTTCAAGGCACCTATTTCACTGATACGGATTTCAGTGGCTGAACTGCAAGCAGCATCTTCAACCAGCTTGCAATCACCAGTGTGTGTCATAACACACAGAGAAAGAAAAATCTTAGGAGATCTTATCTTTCCATAATTACCTGAACATTTCAAGGGAGAGGTTCAGCCCTAGATTCAGACACCTAAATAGGTACATACAAGCAAGTATTTACTTGTCAGCTAGACACGTGTAAACTCATGTTATAATTAATAGAGATTTAGTCAACACGCTTAATGCAGTCCCCAGAGCAATCTGAGCTGAGAGGATGCATCACGCACCAGGGGAAGCAGAGAATATCAATGTCCCCTCCTGTCCTAAAACTGTGAGCCATCAGCTCCTGGGAAAGGGAGTGTGTTCCTCAGACC